AAATCTTGTTTGGTATATGATTACATGAAAGATGGAGAATTATATGAATACCTATCATAGACTGGACCATTCAAGGAAGAAACTGCTAGAACTTTCTTTCATTAACTTATTGATGTGTTATAATATTTACATGGGTAAGGTCTTGCTCATAGAGATCTAAAACCTGAAAACATTTTATTTAAAGATGGTCAATTAATGGTATCTGATCTAGGATTTGCTACATTTGTTGGAGGCAATTATGGACATGGAGTTTTAGCCTCTTTTAAGGGTACTATCAGTTATATGGCACCAGAAATATTAGTTAGATAAAAGTATGTAGGATAATGTGTTGATATATTTGCAGCTGGTATTATTTTATATTTAATGATGACTGCTTAATTGCCATTTAAATAAGCAAATGCTAAAGATTAATTGTATAATCTAATTTGTACTAATCGATTTGATTAATTTTGGGCTTACAAAGAGAAATCTGGTATCCCAAGATTTTCTAATGAATTCAAAATACTTATTAATTCTATGTTAGCCTTTGATCCATTACAAAGACCTACACTTTCTGAAATTATAAGCAGTACTTGGTACCAAGGAATTACCATTAGTAATGAAATCCTTATTAAATTACTTAATTCACGTAAATAAAAAATCCAATCATAATAAAATAAAGAAAACTTATAGAAAATGCTTGACAAATAAAAAATATAGGCAGCAGACTAAAATTAACAATGTATGTGATCCAACTCTAATCTAGTGACTGTTGGAATTGGAAATTTTAATAGAGGAGAGGAAGACATAACTATTGATTTAACATTAAAAAGAGAATTAAAAAGATTTAAATAGACAGATATAATTCTTCCATTTGAACCTAATTTTATATTTGCTAAGCTAATTGAAAATAAGAACAAATTTGCCAATAAGATTAGTTTTGTCGATAATTTAAAATATAAAGTATCTTAATTATTAATATATTAGCTTCATTATTGGTTTTTATAAAATAATGAAGAATTTGAAATGGCTATATAGTTAGTCTAAGGACCAATTAAATCTACTATAGGGATTGATTTCTAATTAATTAATGGAAATGGATTGGAATTTTATTAAAAAAAATAATAAATAGAAGACATGCTATTATAAATCGAATGATTATCAAATTAAAAATATTTTTATATGTTTTGTAAATTAATTGCAAAAGCAGCCACTCAAGTGATCAAATATTAATTTAGACCATTAATTGCAACAAGCATTATCAAAAACAATCATTTGACTTTACATAATCTAATCGCATTTTAATTTGAAAGATTGCCATCATTACCTGAAGAATAAGAAATTGAAATTATTGAACTTCTTACCAAAAGCTGTCTACAAGGCCTCTGGAGGATATGAATATTTATATATTATATCTGATTTACATTATATTTGATAGTATTTATGTATACATTTTTAGAAATCTTTCTTAAAATTTTATATATTTTAACAGAAAATTATGGAAAATATTATTTTTATATTATTCAATATTTTTTCTATCCAGATTTTCTTCTAATATGTTCATCTTTTTAATCTACATCTAAATATTTCTTCGAATCTCCTTTATTTTATACACCTTTACCTTCATCTTTGCTATTTTTTGTATTTTTTTTGCTTAATTATAATTAATATATAGTTTATACTTATCTTTATCTTTATCATTTTTTTTCTCAATTATTTATGGGGCTGTTTCATCATCTTCCTTCATTTTTTTTGGCCCTCTCTTATATGGTGGTAGTTCTTAATATTCCAAATCTTATTTTGAAGCAGATCGTTTAAACTTTTCTTCAATTAATTTATCAAATTATTCTTATTTCTAAGCAAATTTTCTATTGTAAAATATTTAAACATTATTTTTACTTTTACCATATCTCAATTTCCTTATGATATTATTCTAATTTCTATTAAAAATCATCCTCATATTTTTTTTTATGTTTAGGTGGAAGTTCATTATATTTATCTGCCAAAACTTTTGTTACTTTAGCCATATTGAAATCAGGATTCTCATTACTAAATTCTTTTCTATGTTCTGCTATATAAACTAAACAAGCAGATGCAGGTTTTCTTGGTTTTTCTGGAATTTCCATTAATGATTTATATTTCTTAATATCATGCATATCCCCTCCATAATATAATATCAAATCTTCTTTATATTTTGATTCCATTTCATGAAATTAATCATCAAATTTCTACCTTTCATCATCATCTAATTCTCTCCACATTTCAGAAATTTTATGACCTGCATCTCCAACTTAGAATTTACCTTCTTTTCTTAATTCAGGTAATTTTGATGCATAAAATATTTGATAACCTGATATATAATTTCTTGTTGGGGGTTTCTTGAGTACACCACTTCTTAATTACATTAATTAGGAGGGATTATTTAAAATTAAATTAAATAAATGTTTAATCTATTGATTTTATGTTTGAAATACTATATATATATAAGATATATATTAATTATGATAATATTTATAAAGTATATATTTACAATTTTTGTAATCATGACTAAAAATGTATTTATTATATTAATTTAATAATAATATTTATATATATAAATTTTTAATTAATGGAACATTGTGATCATTGTAGAGAAACCATAAATGAAATGTAGGCTTTAGAAAAGTAAGTTGAAAGCATCAAAAATTAGTTGGAGATTGCAGAAACCCAAGTGAAGCTTTTACGATAGGAGAATGAACTTTTAAAGAGTAACATTAAAAAGCCTAATAAGCCAAAGCATTACAATTAGAGTATGTAAAGTGAGATACAGAAATGCTATTAGGAGATTGCGAAATTGCAAGATATTATTAGACACAAAGATGAAATAATTTAAAATCAAATTCGAAATGATGACAGTGTTAGCGATAAAACAGAAATCTATTCCAAGTAAATCGATATGTGTAGAAAGAAAGTCAAATTTTGATCTTATTATTTATAGAAATGTTAATTTGTTATTCTCATCTTTCCAATAAGTATTTATCAGTTGAACATGATATTATTAAGTATAATCATATAAAATATAATACAATATTCTGGTATTTTGTTTTTAAATGAAGTGGAAAGTTGATTTAATTTTTATTAATAAAATTCATATAAAAATTAGAAATAATGTAAGAATAACATTCACTATTCTTTTGTCCTGAAAATGAAGAGAGTGAAATTATAAAAGCAAAGACATATGATGTTTAAACATAAAGAATAGCTGCTAGCTTTTATTCACAATTTTCAGATGGCACTGACTCTTTAATGGATTTACGACGGCAAAATTAATGCAATTCTGCTTGCTCTTCATCTAGTTTACAATCTTCCAGAACTCTACCAGATGAATGTATGCAACATAATTATTCAAAATGTTTAGGTACAAAAAGACACTTAAATTTTAGATTTAGACATCTTATCTGAAGCTGCTAAGTAATCATTTAATTTTGTCTTCAAAACATAAGAAGATTGGTTAGAACATTTCAAATAAAAATGTCTTATATTAGATACATTTTTCAAAGATTGTGCTTTTAATTCATTGATAGAAAAAGAAATTTAAAATGAAGATTACAAAATTAAATAAGGTATAGTATTAACTGTAGATTACTTTACAAACTTATTCACCCTTTCTTTATATCTTATATGGAAATGGATATAAAATGAAAATTAAATGGATATGACTAACTATGTTTCATGTTAGAATTCAATCCCAATATTTTTCAATCTAATCTTTTAATATCGCTTTAATGAATTAAAAAATGATAAAATCTTTATTGCATTTATAGAATAAACCATTTAAACTATTACAAAATTGAAATTTGAAGATGAATAACAATCTAAACCATATTTAGGTGTTGGAATGAGTTAAAATTCTAAACCTCTTCCTTTACTTAAAGAAAATGAGATATTTCCTTGGTATCCAGAAGAAGTAGCCAAAATATTAAGCATAATCAATTAAACTTTTTATGCTGATCTACAAATTAAAAATGTAGTTGTTAAAGGAGGTCTTAAATATGTAAAATTATATTTTAGCATAGTATTTCAAAAGAATTAATACTTTCTCATAATATATCATATATTCAGTAGTAAAAAGTCCTTGTAAATATAAAAGATAAGAAGCTTTATCATATTGGATTGATTTGGCAGAAAAATTATAAATTCAAAATGATCTGGAGGGATTATTTATAGTTTTCAAATATGGAATATAATTATTATTGAAAGATTATATTTCAACAATGCCAATATTATTCAAGCATTAAAATCGTATTTAAAAAATTAATGCTTATTATGAACAACAAATAAAAGACAATCTAAAAAATATTAAACCTAATGTAAAAGGTTATAATATTCCTTCCTTTCAAAAATATTAAACTCATATAAAGAGATTGGAATTATAAGCAAAACAAAATAGATAGGCTTTTGAATAAATTGCCAGCCTTTTAGCAGAATTGGTAGAGATTTCAAAATAATAATAATAAAAATAATCTATTATGAATCATTAAGTATATATAGAAAATTATATTCAGTTATCATTTTAAGAGTAACAAATAGCCAGATTTTTAACTTAAGGTATAGAAAATGAATTAGAGAACAACCTTAAAATTCCTCTAGAAAAAGAAACTTTGGTATATATTGAATTAATCAAATTGTCAAAAATAATGAATTGATTCTTTCAAAATTGACTCTATTAATGTACTTTGTTTTAATAATCACTATGATAACTATATATATATATATTTTTTATTTTAAGAAAAAATTTAGAAATTATTTTTTAATTAATTTAGATAATATGATTAAATTTTCTAATAAAAGGATATTTGTTCTTTTTTTTTTAATAATTACATTAGATTCAATTCTATGCTAAATATATATTATAATTAATCTATTCAAAATTCTTTCATTGACTAAAGATCAGTATTTAATTGCAAACTTACACATAAGAAATAATAGTTTATTTTGCTTATAATTTTGAATGAAATAATATAAGTTATGTAGGAGATAAATCATTTAATTGTCCTATCAGATTTAGGCAAAGAAAATATCATTTTTGTTGGACTAAAGATTGGTATTTATAAATTTAATGAAGTTGGAGAATCGAAGTCATCTATTTCAATATCTTTGTCTGATAGAATAATTGTTGGAGTTAGATTGATCTCTCTTTGAGATCTTCGTTAAATTGCTCTTTTCATAAATTTATTGTTCTCTATTTTAAGGGAATTCATGTCGCTTTAAAAATTTTAATTAAAATATTTATTGATATAATCAACTATTGGATATTTTTCAATATTTTATATTAGGGCTAAAAAATTAATTGATCTTATTCATTATTTTATATATAGATAAGTGTAGATTTTAATATTTAACCTTTATAACAATAAATTAATATGTTTGCTTATAAAATTATATTATTGATTATTATTTTTATTAATTAAAAAAATAGTTAACTTTTGTAGTATTTTAATATTAAGTTAAATTTTGTTGATTGATAAAATAATTAGAAAAGATATTGGAAAATTATATTATATGTAATTAAATAATCTCAAATAAATAAAACAATGTTTACATTCATCTATTTTTTGATACAGAATTTTTTTATGGTCTTTAATTGATTGATGGCTAAAAATTAATAAAAATGTTACACATGAAATGTATAAGTTGGAATATTAGACTTTTTAGAATTGGGTTTTTTTAATAAATCATGTTTCTCTTTATTGGAAAGAGTATATACTAATCTCATTGCTGATTCAACAAATTCACTTTTAGTTAGTACATGTTTTCCTTCTTCCATTTCAGATATTAATGGTTAGAGTATTTGAATAACAGTTTAATTAAGATTACCTAAATTTATTCTAATTGCATCAATTTCACCATCATTATCATTATCAATTTAATCAAAAATATTAGAAAGTGAATTAATTACAGCTTATTGTGTTAAAAATTCTGATTTTTAACTTGCTCTTACTTTTGATTATGTCATCATCTTTTCCTTACTAACAGATTAAATAGTTGCTCTTTTTTATGCTAATAATTATGCATCTTTATAAAGATTATCAAATAAATTTTCTGGTCTTTATTCAGGTGGTCTACCTGTTCTTGGTCTAAACATATTACTTTCATCAGCACTAGAATTTCTTTCTTTTGATTTATTTCTATATTTTTATCTTCTTTCTTCAAAACTTAGACCTTAAACTAATTATTCAGATATTTAATCAATTTTTGGATGAAATGTATGTTTTTAAGCAAAATAATTTCTATCTAATTCATTTAATTTTTGCTATTTCACATCCATATCTTAATATAATGATTCATAATGAGGTATTGCTATTTAAGATTATTTCTTTTTCTCATCAACTATTGAAGATGAACTTAAAATTTAATTGGAATATATTACACTCTATTTATTTAAGGATGAAAAGAACAACTTTATTATTCCATTTCTAACTTATAATTTTATGCATTCTCTCTTTTTTCTTATATTATTTTTGCTAATTCATTTAAATGTTCCCCAACTGGTTTAGGTGAACGTTAAGCTATTTTAGAAGAAAGAGTATTTATTTAAGGTTTATGAGTACATTCAACAAGTTAAGATTTTTGTAAGTCTTTTCTAGCACTTTCAGCCTTTTATAATTTCTCCTCTTTCTTTTAAATTCCCTTTTAATATAGAATCAAACCATAATTAACTTCTGATTCTTGAGATTTCATAATTTAACTGCTAGATTTGTTTTCTGATAATTGTAATTATCTTTTCAATTTTTTATTATGAGCATCTTGATATAGTCTGTCATATACTGTTTAACTTATGCTCTCTTATTTCATAGGGGATTATTGAGATTATGCAATAATTGGAGAAGACCCTTATTTTTAAGTTTGTATTTCACTAGATTACTCAGTTGGTCTATGATTCTACTTCTTTTGAGATAACTAAATAAAAAGTTAGACTCCAACTGCTTACGTATTGAACCATATTCATGCGTTCTTTTTGAGCTATCTAAATTTGCTTTTGAATATTATCTATAAGTAATGGTGCCACTCTTTAATTTAAGTTATATTTAATGCAAAAATCTCTTGCCAATATTTCAGGATCATCTCCTTCAAATACATCTATTCTTCCACTTCTTTTATCGTCTATTTATATTGTCATCACTAACAATTGTCCATTCTAAAAATACTTTAATCCTTAATACCCTTTATTCCATTGAACTATGACTCATGGGATTGTTATAATTAATTTTTTTAATTAATAATTACGTTAATGGATCAATTGGCTCTCAAGAAACTCGTTAATAAACTAATTGATGAAAAGCTCAAATTAGTTTGTGAAGAATGTCGCAAGAAAACTACTTAAAAAAAACTAGGTTATCATAATTTTAACATTTCCATACAACCTTCACCAATTAATTTTGATTTTAGTATTGACAATGAAAATAAGGAAAATTGTCTCTCTTCTAATAGAAATGCTAATAGAGTCAAAGCATCTAAAAGTTAAGCTCTTGATTTAGAATAATAGATATTTAATGCAGATATAAGGTATATATATATATCTCTATATATTTATAAAGTGTAATTAGACCAATATCTTAATTTTCAAGTCCAACTGTTAAAGCTTCTCGAAAATAATCTATGCCTTTTCTCAAAAAGGAAACTTAAACAACTTATGAGAAAGTTCTCAAATCAAAAAAATGATTTAGTTATATAATTAATGTATACATTTTATTTTAATGTACTTTTAACATATTAATTTTTTTCAATGTTATTAGTATTTAAGTATATTAAATATAAACTACACAATTTAAAAAATTAATTTACAATAAATAAAAGGATTTCTGTAACTCTATTGGATATGTTTTATTATAGTATTTTATATAAATTATTATTTATCATATTTGTTATTTACAAAATATTTATCTTGCTTTTAATGTTATTTTTATCATATTATGGATTAAATATCATAAATTTTTTTTAATAATTATTGTAAATGATTTGAAAAATGTGTTAAAATTTGTATACAAAAATGATTAATTTTTATTTTTATGGGCAATTCATGCTGTTCTCAAACTTAGACCATCAAACAATCTTAAAAAGAAATTATAAATCCTATTCCTTAAGGTGACAGAATAAAATCTTTAGGGGATTCTATATAAATTGGACAAATTGGAGAACTAATCTAATAGCATTGCTAATTATATCAATATTAAGATGGAGATGATTTGATATCTCCTCCACCTTTGTCTCCAAAATAATAACATGTTATTGTTTATCTTGAGCCAAAAATAGTAATTGATGAAGTAATACACTTTCAGACTGATATTATTAAAGGAATACTAAGTACACGATCTCATGAAGCCTATTCTGATTCGGCTTGCAGTTCAATTAATGGAAAAGATAATCATTAAAAAAAAGTCTAATTTATATTGTAATCAATATAATGATATATTATTCTTTTATCTTATATGTAATATTATCAGATATTAGATTCTCTAAAACCTTTTAATGTTTTAGACATAAGACATTTAATTTACTACAAACAACAAAAATATTAATTTTAATTAATTTCTAAATTTATAAACCTAATTATTGTAAACTCAATATGCATGTAAAATTTCAATGAAACATGAAATATAACTAAAAGGATGAAATTAAAAATGTTCAAATTAGTTTATTCTTCATTTTATTTCAATAAAATAAAAAATCCTTTCTAGTTTTTTTTAATTATATTTAATTATAGCCATATAATTTCAAATCTTTTAAAACTATAATAATTTGTTAAATTCAATCCTATTTCATTTGTATATATATTATATTATACAATTATTATCTTATATTATAAAATAAAGAATATAGAAATTATATTATATATATTTATAATAAAAAAGAATTATTCTCTAATTAAGATAATTACTCATAATATTTTAATCACACTAATTTACGGACCTTCTTTCCTTGTATCATAGCATCAAAACCTGCATAACCGTCAATTATTCCATGTTTTAATAATACATTTGGTTGTATTATTCCATTATGATAGATGTCTTTTAATCTATCATCAAATGTTGATTTATCTAATTTCCTATTAATTTCAATCATATTAATTAATTCTGCTTCCTAATTCTTCATTTATTGTTCTACCCATTCTTTATCCTAGTTAGATAATTCATTTAATGGATTTAAAAGTTTCATATTATCATTTGTAGCAATATGTTTCTAATGAATATACCAATTTGAAGCTAATTTTCTTAAATCAAAATAAGGCTAAGCATATCCCATATTTCCAACAATAGCATAGGGATCTATAATTTTAATTTTATTAACTCACATAAGCCTTATCACCAATAGTTAACAATCCTAAAGCACTTTTAATTACAATATCTTCTCCAAAACAGTAAATTGGAATTCTAAAATAACATAATTATTACTTATGTATTTGACTATACTTTTTAATTAGAATAGCTAGATTTTAAGTTTAAATAAGAGATCCACCTAAAGAATTAATAATCAAAGCAATAAATTCAGGTTTGTAAATGGTCCATTTATCTAAGGAATCAGCTACTTTCTCAACTCTTTAATAAATTTGAAATAGTTTACAATTATGGAGTTATAATTGATGAGATCTTGATTTTAAAGATGCGATTTCTAAAATTCATAAATAAATTTATAAAATTTAGTCAATTTTTTTATAAATGACAAATGGTTTTCTTTTTCTTATATTTAGTTAAATAATTGTTAAGAAAGTTTCTTGAATAGATCTTAGGCATGCTTCTAGTGTGAATTAATTTAATATTTTGATTTTCTTAAGGTTATGTTTTGATAACTCTATAAGATTTTGGGATTTGAAGTGTAATGCTTTTAATCTCTTCTGATTATGGATTTGATAAAAGATGACTTCTACAAGATTTAGGTGGTTCAAAGATACGGATTTAGGTATCCTCTATCAATTTTTCAGTACTTCTAGCAGAAGCTCTACGAAGAGTTGTAAGTAAAAGTTATGAAGAAGAAGTAGAGGTTAGTGTATCATGTCTAGATGCTGAATATTTTCTAAATAGTTTTTCTAATTAATACTAATGCTTACTTGTATTTTATGCTGTCAACAATCGATTATTATTCATAGATGGTTATTTTCTTAAACGTGCAATCTTTTTAATAAATGGAACACTCATATTTCTGTATTCTAATGTAGTTAGATTACCACATTAATTGCAATGACAACTTTTTCTTCTCATTCTTTCAGGCAATTTTGGAAATTTTTTCACTGAAGAGAAAGAAAAGAATTTAGGTATGCTGAAACTTCGCCATAATTATGGTTTCGGAGTTTAATGAATGGGATGAGATAAATGCCGATGTTCTCTTATAGCTCTAAAACGTATACACAAACTTGAGTTTTATTAATTCATTTTTAATTCAGACTCATTTACAAAGCCTCTTAGAATTCCTAATCGTCATCATCATTATATTCTGTCAATATTTATTCTTTTTATTTTGATTACTATTTAATCTATTTCTATGGTTTTCTTTTAGTATTCTGCTTTATTTCTTATACAGATGCATCAGAATCTGATTCACTTTTTATATGTTTTAATCTATTTCTTTTAGAAGATTCTTTTTTCTCTCCTTATCCACAAATGCTTATATGTAGATTCAACTCTAAAAAATCAAGTTATATATTTACCTCTTTTTTGTATATGCTTTTTACAAATTTTACATTATTCAGTTCTAGAACCACACTTTGCTTAATGTCTTGGCATTTCACTCATATTTATCATCAAATCACAAAATCCACATTTCTCTGGCTTATTAGGACAATTATTCTTATGCATTTCTAAAAGTACTTATTCAAACATTTATAAGCAATAAGGACATTCAGTCTAATCATATATATTCATCTATACTTTCTAATGATTCTACATATGAGCATCTTTTTCATTCATATCTATTCTTTGATCACAGATTTCACATTTTATAATGTTACGTTCACAATAGAGAGAATGAAGCAAATAATTACTAGCCAAAACTTCTTCCAAACTCAAATATAAGTCAATATCTTACCAGCATTAACAAACCTTTGTTTCACTCATATTTAAAATTAAACTAAATAAGAACTCATTAACTCATAAATTATCTAATTCTTAAACTCATTTTTCAAAATTCTTCAGAAAATAAACAGAATATCCAAAATAATAGATGTACATACATACTGTATAGTATACATAAATCAAAATAAATGAAATGAATAATACAATACAATGAAAATATTCATTTACTAATATTCACATAATAAACTTAATTTATTCTATTAAATTGATTTACAATAAATATTAATACGATTTATCAATATCTAAAAAAATAATTGTATAATTATTATTATATTTTTGTTTAAGCAACACTGAGATGTTTTTAATTTAATAATTATGTATAAATTATAATGATTAATTTATGCCTATTCTATTTCAACATATAGAGAACTTTTATATATTTTTATATAAAATTTAAAATTATATATAAATTTAAGATTGGATAAATTAAATTATATTATATTAAAAATGGGATATATTAAATCTACATTTGAAAAATTTAGATAAATATAATAGGGAGGATCTTGAATGATCTTTAAACTATTGACAATACTTAAATTTTATTAAATAAATAAATTTAATAATAAATAAGCAAGATTAAGTGTCTTAAAATATCTTTTGATGATATACTATAGGAGAGATAGATATAAATATACGATTCTAATCGTTAAATACAACTATTATAAATTTTGAAATACTTATTTGATATTTTTACAGAATCAAAAACTTTTTATTATTCAAATGACACAACTTTTTATGCATATTAAGAATTCTCCCAATTAGAAAATTAAATATAAGTTGAGGTTTGGAACAAAAAAATAGTATTAAGTTAAAAAATTTTGAAAGGAATTTCATAGAATAATTTTGATTCTTAAATAAAAATCTTAAAAAATATTCCATATACTCTGTGTAAAAATAATGTAGCAACATTTAATATAAAAAAATATATAAATTGAAGAACAGAAGAGAAAAGTAATTTATAAATCTCATGTATAAATTGAATAAAAAATTTCTAGGAACTGTCCTAATCATTGTATTAAATTTAATAAGATAAGTTATAAATAACCTAATAAACTTATAGTATTATAAAAAAATGAATAAAAATTAAAAATTGAAAAGTTTAAATTATTTTAAAATGTTATCTTTTTATAATCATTCATATTTAAATATAAAAAGTTTAAATAATTATGGACCCATAATTGAGTTCATTTTAGTAAGTAGTTCAATAAGATACTTCTAATAAACAGATCTTAGTTATTTGATCTGAATCATTTTAGATCCTCTGAAAATTGGAAAATTATCATCAATAGTTTCATTGATAACTTATTCTTAATTTTATGTACTCCTACTTTTTTTGACATAATAATAATTAGTTAAATTTAATTATTATGCCCATTTAATTTCATAATCTATAGCTATTCTATTAATCTCTTTGATCTGTTATGTATAATGAAAACTTAATCTATGAAATGAGTTTGATCTAAATTCAACAAAACTGACAGCTACTAGTTAAAAATTAACATAATATTTGATCATTTGAGATTAGGAATCACAAAACATTTTTTCGTAATTTTACTTTGAAAATTAAAAATAGTTTTCATTGAATAAATGATGTGCTTCTTCATCATATATTGCTTATTTAGTAATCACATTTAAACAACTCCTTTTTGATTTTTTTAACAAAGCTACAAAATCACTGGGCCATTTAAAATGTAAATAATTTTTTTTATCAACTCTGACATCCATATGTAACTCATTATTTAATGATTAAACGTGTTTTTTGAGTTCCATATGTTACTATTCTTTAAATCCATATTTAGTTAAAGAAGTATAATTCAAACGTTAAGCTAATGCTAGTAAAAAGTGTTAAAAAGCCTATTTTGTTTATAATGTCTCTCTAGCAGGACGAGACATATCGACGTATTATAATAAATTGTTAAATATAGATTATTTAATTGGTTCGACATCGAAATATTCTTAAGTTAACTTACTAGAGAGTAATGAAAATCTATTACCTTAATGCTTTTAAACATCTTTTAGGGGAAGTGTATTGACAAATAGGGATTTTACATACAATTTGTTAGCAACAACTTTTGGGATTGGAATGGTAGAACAATTAGCCTGATTTACGCCAACTGTTTTCTTGAAGTTGAGTATAGCAAGAATCATTAAAATTCTAAATTGATAGGATAGTTCCATTAGCAGTTAGTTATTTACAACATAGACAGAAACCCTGTTATTCTATATTAACAGTATTGATATTGATGCTGGCCATCACAAATTTTGTATATTACAATTGTAGAATTGGTTTGGATAAGTTTATTTTTAGTGTATAATAATAGATCATTATACTATGTATGTGAATTAATTTTACAACAAAATTTAATTAGTATTATTTATGATGATTGTTAAGAGATTTAATTGATCAAGTATATAGTTGATGCAATCAGAATTGAATCTATTATATATATATATATGTTTTTAATGTGTAAATTCAGGGAAGACAATTCTTAAGGAAGGAGGCACCTGAACATTGAATAATTCCAACAATAACACCAAACAAACCAAGTGCAGATCCAAAGATTTCAACAACTAATATTTTAACAAAGGTTTCTGGAGTTTAAGCATCAGCAATGGCACATCCAGAACCTGTTACACCTACTGCAATACTAAAATTAATAACAATATTAAAATTACCCACAGATCAGATTTGATAATCCAACAGATACACCTGTCCAAAATAAGGAATAACCACCAAACAAAGCTGTTGTATAGCATTCATCTATTTAATCATCAGGATATGACTCAATTGTTTGTACTTTACCAATCATAATAATTCCCATAATAACACCATAGATGGCTACAGCTTCACAAAAAATGACTGAAATCAAATTCTTTGATCTTATTCTTGGTGCTTTAACAGTTGAACCCAATAAAGATACACCTGTAATAAATATACCCCATGATGCTCCTATAATTGATGTTGCTAATGCTAATGCCACTCCAAAATAACTAAAGATATAATAATTTATATCTACCTCCAGAAATAAGGATCAATAAACATAAATCTTTCTCCCCATGTTGCACTTTACCACTCTAATTCTGTCCAGTCATATGGATTACCCCAATTCATAATACTCATATTTTATATTATATTTAATTATTTAGTATCATTCTCCCAACCAAGGTAATTCACTTTCTATCTATTTAGCTAATTCTGGTGTCTTTATTTATTAAATAACTAATACTTGCATTAATTAGGAACAGAATTTATCTAGATCTTCATTTAAAGGTTATTTGGTTTTGCTTAAACTTCTATATATTTTTTAAAGATTTTCAATATATTCTAATCCTATATCATCTGGTTATTTATTCAATCTTTTAAACCTTCATAAAAATTATTAAGAGTACCATAATAATTTATCAAATTTATATATAGCATCTAAAAGAGTTGTCATAATTCCATCTATACTATTCTACAATTCTTCTAAATTTTATATTTTTTATTCAAAATTTAATTCACCCATTTCTTCAAGTAAATCTTATATAAATCTTGATAATTTGATTTCTAATTTCTCATTAATACTTTATTAAACAAAATTAAAGTTTTCATTTCTTTTTTTAAATTTAAATTAAACTTCTATATCTTATTATTTTTAATTGCTATTCTATTAACTTTGACCAGTTGATGCAAAATATTTTTCTTATTATTGATCTGTTGTTATTTCAGATTATGCAAATAATGGTGAGTCCACTTAATATTCATCAAAATTATTAGTAGTATTTGTGAATTATGGTTGAGGATGATATTTAATTTAATATTAAAATGGCTTTTATTTATGTGTTTAATGTTGTATTTCATAAATATGTAATGCAGCAGAAGTAAAATCACATACTGATATAGTATTACCCTTAAAATACTTTTTGAATTCCTAATACTTATCATCACAATTAAAAAGAAGTTCTGAGATTTTTTACACTTATTTTTAATTTAATTATAACTTCTCATTATCAATACATTATTTGCGAAGTGCTATTAGAAATTTAAATTTAAATAATACGATGATAAAAAGATAGATTAAGTTCTTTTTAGATAACTGCTCTTGTAAATAAATAGAAGGTCAAAACTTCTTATGTTTGTTATTTTAAGAATGATTAGAAAATACTTATGTCTTTTTTTTTAAGAGAATGCAAATCGACTGATGCAAGAAAATTAATGATTTACTAAATGATAAGTAAGAGTAATACTTGATTTTTTGAATGTTTGAATTTCTGATATAAAAAATTATAGACATAATCTGCAAATGATATGTCACAAACATTTTAGTATTTAGTAAATTAATTTGTATCATCAATGAATTTTCTTTAGTATATTTCTTCTATTATAAGTGAAAGCTCATTAAAATTGAATTTGAGTGGTCTTGAAAGTAAATCTTAATTGGATATTTAATTCATGATAGTTGGATATGAATCATTAAGATCACTAAATTTAGTACCAATTGAATGATCTGTCTTTAAATGAGATTAAATATAAGTTTTAGACTCTATTTTAGAATATTCAATAACAATTTACTTATAGGAGTATATGACTTAAAATTTGCAATATCAGTATTAGCACTATATTATCTGGCTCGATGTTATTATGGCATTGTAGGTTTCTTAATTGATTGTTTTTCTATACTTATATTGCTTTCAGCTAGAAAAGTAATATATTTTTTTTTGGCATCATCAGTGAGTTCTGAGAAATTGATCATAATTTGTTTCATCGTTAATAATTAATGTAGTTTTTGCGCTAAACTCTTACAAATTCAACTATCTTATACAATCCTCAAATAATTCAAACATCAGTAGCAGTAATTATGAACAATGATGAAATACTATTGATCAAACGTAAAGTAAATGCAAGAGATCCTCATTCAGGTTAAATTGCATTTCCTGGTGGAAAAGTTGAAAAGGATGAAAATACATTATAGGCTGCTATAAGAGAAACATTTGAGGAAATAGGAGTGAATTTGAATGAAAGTCATCATTTGGGAAGAATAGATAAAAATTATCAAGCATATTATATAAAGAATAAGAATTTAAAGATAGCAACTCATATATTTTAATTAGATGGATAAGTAGAATGTACTATAAATGAGAATGAAGTTGATAGAGTAATGAGATTACCATTGAATTAAATTAGTTTAGAATATATGGATATCAAAAAGTATAAAAATAAATCAGTACATGTATTTGCTCGTACTGTTGAGAGATAAAAATATTTATCTGATATTGTAATGTAGGGATTCTAATATTAATAATTTCCTTATTATAAATTAGAAAAATAAGTATTTTATGGATTAAGTTGGCTTGTTTTATGTGATGTATTATAGAAATTGAAATTACATTAAGATGTTGTTGATTATACTTTTTAGAATTACCATTATGGATTTGAAAATAATATTAGAAAAGAGTAATTCTTTGATGAATGGTTTAAAAAGAAGAGATTAAATTAGTTTATATGTAATTGAGTTAATTCATTTTCTCATTTATCCACAAACTTCACATTTCTCATCTGTATTCTCTTCATATGTACAAAATCCACAAGTCCAAGATTATAATGTTATATACAAATTCACTTTCTTAATTATAGATAATTTCTTTTTTATTTCATTAATGTCATTTGTACAATTAACATAATAAGATTTCCCATCATCATCTATATAAGTTAATAAAGGGTTAATAATGTTCATTTGATCTCTAATAAATCGTATGATCTCATCATAAGTTGGGTTCTCTTTTTCATATAATTTCTCTAACTCTCCAGAAACTATGTTGAATAACATCAATTATTAATATTAATATATAAACTCTTTATTATTCATTTTCCAATATCCTGCTCTTGAAAATGATGTTTAAATTCTAGTTTAACAATATGANTCTATTTTAGAATATTCAATAACAATTTACTTATAGGAGTATATGACTTAAAATTTGCAATATCAGTATTAGCACTATATTATCTGGCTCGATGTTATTATGGCATTGTAGGTTTCTTAATTGATTGTTTTTCTATACTTATATTGCTTTCAGCTAGAAAAGTAATATATTTTTTTTTGGCATCATCAGTGAGTTCTGAGAAATTGATCATAATTTGTTTCATCGTTAATAATTAATGTAGTTTTTGCGCTAAACTCTTACAAATTCAACTATCTTATACAATCCTCAAATAATTCAAACATCAGTAGCAGTAATTATGAACAATGATGAAATACTATTGATCAAACGTAAAGTAAATGCAAGAGATCCTCATTCAGGTTAAATTGCATTTCCTGGTGGAAAAGTTGAAAAGGATGAAAATACATTATAGGCTGCTATAAGAGAAACATTTGAGGAAATAGGAGTGAATTTGAATGAAAGTCATCATTTGGGAAGAATAGATAAAAATTATCAAGCATATTATATAAAGAATAAGAATTTAAAGATAGCAACTCATATATTTTAATTAGATGGATAAGTAGAATGTACTATAAATGAGAATGAAGTTGATAGAGTAATGAGATTACCATTGAATTAAATTAGTTTAGAATATATGGATATCAAAAAGTATAAAAATAAATCAGTACATGTATTTGCTCGTACTGTTGAGAGATAAAAATATTTATCTGATATTGTAATGTAGGGATTCTAATATTAATAATTTCCTTATTATAAATTAGAAAAATAAGTATTTTATGGATTAAGTTGGCTTGTTTTATGTGATGTATTATAGAAATTGAAATTACATTAAGATGTTGTTGATTATACTTTTTAGAATTACCATTATGGATTTGAAAATAATATTAGAAAAGAGTAATTCTTTGATGAATGGTTTAAAAAGAAGAGATTAAATTAGTTTATATGTAATTGAGTTAATTCATTTTCTCATTTATCCACAAACTTCACATTTCTCATCTGTATTCTCTTCATATGTACAAAATCCACAAGTCCAAGATTATAATGTTATATACAAATTCACTTTCTTAATTATAGATAATTTCTTTTTTATTTCATTAATGTCATTTGTACAATTAACATAATAAGATTTCCCATCATCATCTATATAAGTTAATAAAGGGTTAATAATGTTCATTTGATCTCTAATAAATCGTATGATCTCATCATAAGTTGGGTTCTCTTTTTCATATAATTTCTCTAACTCTCCAGAAACTATGTTGAATAACATCAATTATTAATATTAATATATAAACTCTTTATTATTCATTTTCCAATATCCTGCTCTTGAAAATGATGTTTAAATTCTAGTTTAACAATATGAAGATCATCCTTTTATTTATACTATCTAATCTATAACCATAATATTACATAGATATTAAGATTCATACAGAAATCTATAATTACATTTAATTATTCTTATTCTATTTAAAAAAGTCTTAGCCCATTATGGTTTCTAATTAAGATGCATATATATTGATTTCAATAAAAGCTAAAAAGGAAATCACCTTCAAAAATCAAATGTTCTTTCTCTTGATTGTCTGACTATTTTTATCGAAAATCTCTATAGAAACCTAAATTTAGATCTGAATAGAGACTCCTTTATCCTTGTTTTTAAAGTAAAATAGTTTACAATAAAAGAATTTTAAAGGAATTTTAACTTATATAGATTTTGAAGATCAGTAATTATTGATTTAAGCATTATAAAGAAATAAAAAAAGGTTCATGGAAAAAAAGTCGAGGTTGATTTAGATATTAACAGAAATAAATTGAATAATAAAACAAATAAAACAAACAGTATTAGCATATTTTATTGGTTATCATAGGTTTAATATTGTTTTATAAAATAAATTTCAATTAACTTCAATCAATAAGAATTCTTAACTTATTTTTATAATTATAAACAAATTAGAGTTTCTAGGTTTAATACATTATTAATTTTGTTACACTTAATTAATTTGATCTGAAATAATTAATAAATCAAGTTTTTATGTGATTCTGAATATATTAAGAATGAATAATCATTTTTATTCTAATTTTGAATCTTACTGCGGAATTTTTCTCTCTCTCATGATCAATAACTTTATATCAATAATTAAGAAAACTAATAAGATATTTAAATTTTGGAAATTTATTATTTGCTATCTTAAGTTGAATTTTGAGAAGATTTAAATCCTTTTTTTAAATTAATTCTAGTAATTAATAAATATTTTCATTAAAAACTATACAATATAGATTCATAATAATATTGACTATAACATACATATTTTTTAAATGTGTTGCTCTATATAATTTATTTTAATTATTTTTAATCTATTTTATTTTAAGTTTTTAGAAGAATTTATTATTGAGTCTGCTTATTCAAGTTCAATTTATAATTTATAAAATATATTTGAATTAATTATTCTGGTCCATTTAGTGATAGTTTATTGATTAGATTACTCTCATTTAATTTAATATCAATATTAGAGTGTATAATTGATATCAATGATGAATATTAGTTCATTTAATATTTAGTGAGCAATAATAATATTAATATATGGGATGCACTACTTCAAATCAGACAGTCACTTTGGCATTTAATTAATTTCAATAGCTTAAACTAGGAACCTAATCTATAGAGTTGACTCAACTGTTCTTGGTTGCAAACAATTTAATAAATGAAGTCTAACTACTATATAAGAAAGTTGAAGGAAATAGACTCATTTTATTACGTATTACAAAAGTATATTTTGAAAAACATGTTAAAAGGTATCTCTAACAGCAAATTAAACATTAATAGACGCATTTGGATTCTGGACTAGATATGTTTCAATATGTAACCTGGGGTAGAGTAGCTAAAATGGAGTATTTTTCAAATTTGAAAATAATGGTACTGTTAATAAAATAATATGATAGATAAGTAAATGAACTATAATTTGGGTTTAAATGGAGATTTAAAATTATAATGGTTTGGGGAAATTTTGAATGATTATCTTTAAGGACTTGAACTCATTACCAAAGTGATTCCAAGAATTATTGAACAATTAAAGATGGTACTGGAAAAGATTACTAGTATGAAAACCAATGTTAAAGAAAGGAATAATACTTCTANAAGATTCATACAGAAATCTATAATTACATTTAATTATTCTTATTCTATTTAAAAAAGTCTTAGCCCATTATGGTTTCTAATTAAGATGCATATATATTGATTTCAATAAAAGCTAAAAAGGAAATCACCTTCAAAAATCAAATGTTCTTTCTCTTGATTGTCTGACTATTTTTATCGAAAATCTCTATAGAAACCTAAATTTAGATCTGAATAGAGACTCCTTTATCCTTGTTTTTAAAGTAAAATAGTTTACAATAAAAGAATTTTAAAGGAATTTTAACTTATATAGATTTTGAAGATCAGTAATTATTGATTTAAGCATTATAAAGAAATAAAAAAAGGTTCATGGAAAAAAAGTCGAGGTTGATTTAGATATTAACAGAAATAAATTGAATAATAAAACAAATAAAACAAACAGTATTAGCATATTTTATTGGTTATCATAGGTTTAATATTGTTTTATAAAATAAATTTCAATTAACTTCAATCAATAAGAATTCTTAACTTATTTTTATAATTATAAACAAATTAGAGTTTCTAGGTTTAATACATTATTAATTTTGTTACACTTAATTAATTTGATCTGAAATAATTAATAAATCAAGTTTTTATGTGATTCTGAATATATTAAGAATGAATAATCATTTTTATTCTAATTTTGAATCTTACTGCGGAATTTTTCTCTCTCTCATGATCAATAACTTTATATCAATAATTAAGAAAACTAATAAGATATTTAAATTTTGGAAATTTATTATTTGCTATCTTAAGTTGAATTTTGAGAAGATTTAAATCCTTTTTTTAAATTAATTCTAGTAATTAATAAATATTTTCATTAAAAACTATACAATATAGATTCATAATAATATTGACTATAACATACATATTTTTTAAATGTGTTGCTCTATATAATTTATTTTAATTATTTTTAATCTATTTTATTTTAAGTTTTTAGAAGAATTTATTATTGAGTCTGCTTATTCAAGTTCAATTTATAATTTATAAAATATATTTGAATTAATTATTCTGGTCCATTTAGTGATAGTTTATTGATTAGATTACTCTCATTTAATTTAATATCAATATTAGAGTGTATAATTGATATCAATGATGAATATTAGTTCATTTAATATTTAGTGAGCAATAATAATATTAATATATGGGATGCACTACTTCAAATCAGACAGTCACTTTGGCATTTAATTAATTTCAATAGCTTAAACTAGGAACCTAATCTATAGAGTTGACTCAACTGTTCTTGGTTGCAAACAATTTAATAAATGAAGTCTAACTACTATATAAGAAAGTTGAAGGAAATAGACTCATTTTATTACGTATTACAAAAGTATATTTTGAAAAACATGTTAAAAGGTATCTCTAACAGCAAATTAAACATTAATAGACGCATTTGGATTCTGGACTAGATATGTTTCAATATGTAACCTGGGGTAGAGTAGCTAAAATGGAGTATTTTTCAAATTTGAAAATAATGGTACTGTTAATAAAATAATATGATAGATAAGTAAATGAACTATAATTTGGGTTTAAATGGAGATTTAAAATTATAATGGTTTGGGGAAATTTTGAATGATTATCTTTAAGGACTTGAACTCATTACCAAAGTGATTCCAAGAATTATTGAACAATTAAAGATGGTACTGGAAAAGATTACTAGTATGAAAACCAATGTTAAAGAAAGGAATAATACTTCTAGACAGAATATAAGTTTATTAAAATTCAATTTAAGTTTCATAAAAATAATTAACATAAAAATAATAAAGTACAATGAAGAAGTAGAGCTACTTAAAAATTAATGTAAATAAATAGCAGATAATGCAGATGAATAAGGAATAAAACTTTATAATAAATATGGAGTGAGAAAATTGATAAATAGTGAAAAATATTGTTTGAAAACAAAAATCAATATTATCATTGAATAATGTTTTTAAGGATAAATGAGATCAGAAATGCAATAGGAAATATAATAAAGAGAAAAAACTAAAAGAAAATTAAAGAAACCATCATGGATATTTGGAGATGATATTGGAATTGGTATTAAGAAATTTCCATTCAGAATTAGATGGACAGGATGTGAATGTGTAGATCATTCTTTTTTTATAATCTCTAATTATTTAGAAAATCATAGTAAACATCTATTATTGTTGAGGAAATTATCAGTGATTATAAGATACTTAACTAAGGCATATAAAACTGATGAGGATACATTATCAAGAGCTTGGTCAATATTTTGCTGTTATTTAAATGAAAAAGAAAAAACAATTATTTAAAATAGTATGTCTATATTAGAAGGAATTAAAAGACTTAAACTAAAAGATTAGAATGCTGAAAAATGTCGTATCTACTTCATTTAGTATGTTGAGTAATATGATAATGAATTACTTGTAAAATTATAATAAGAATGGTAAAACTATTTGGAAGGATAATCTAAAGTATTATCTTTATGGTCAAATAATCAAATATTTTCTACTATTGAATTTTAAGAACTTGATATACATGATAAATATTATGCATTAACAAGTATGGCTAAAAATATTTATGCTCTCTAACACTATTTTCCAGTTGCTACCAAAATTTATAATACAGGTATTGAGTATATATTTATATTTTAGTTTATTAAAAATAATTGACTAAAGGAAAGGATTTTCTTAATTAAATGCAATCTATATATATAGCTTCAGGAATGTATTCACTTCCATTTGATTAATTATATACTATAAATAAGTTAGAAGATGAAGTAATAAAAGTGAAAAATAAAGAAATTAAGTTCAAATATGCTTATGGTAAATTTTCATAGAAGAGTTGAGTAGTTAAATTGGATAATATTATAAGAATAAATGTTATTTTTATATATAATTTTCCATAATGGAATAGATTTTTGTTCATTTTATATTGAATATTTTCAAAGTAGATATTTTAATAGAGAAATAAACTGTCCTTAAGTCAATAGATAAGTTTAATTACAAAATCTGATTTACATATTTAAATTCATAATTTAAGTTACATGATTAAGTATTCTCTACTCTACAATTAGGCTAACCCCATTAAATACAATATTCTATAAATTTAACTTATTCCCTAAATCAATATTAGAAAATATTTTATTTTTATAGAGTATATTTTTTATTCAATTAAATCTATTGTCTTAAAAAAATATTCAGATTTTAATTAATATAAGTCCTTATATCATTTAAGATAAATATTAACAAATCTTCTTAAAAATAATTAAATATAACTTAGTTTAACAGATCCTTTGTATAAGAAGTTTCACAAAAAGAAGGCCAAAAAAAAATGAATTTTAGAAGATATTATTTTCAAGCTAACCTAATTTAATGATATTGATTTTAATTATTTATGTTAAATTAAAAATATATGATGATTTTCAAGAAACTATTTATTGGGTTTAATTTAATGCCTCTTTAATTATATCTTGTATTTTATCCATTCTTTAATAAAATAAACTGGAATCTTCTTTTAATTACATTCCCTCTAAATATCCAATTCTCATTTAATCTCTTAATAGTATTTCAAAAAACTCTTCAACATCTGTTTTTTATTTTTCTATAAACATATGACTTGCTAAAATCATATCCATTCCTCCTATTGCTAATTCTAAACCAATTCTTTCTTGTTCTTGATAAAATAACCATTGTTCTAAATCAAATTTTCCATAATTCTTATTTTCTGAAATTTCTGAAGAATTAGCCCTTTAAGCATCAAAATCAATATCAATGTTAATGAACTCTTCTTTACTAATAAATTATAATAATCAATACCAGAAAGCAAGATCAAAATCTACTGGAGCAAGTACATTAGATCCATTCTATATTATAACAAAATTATCTAAATGTGCATTACTATGATAATAAAATTTACTATGATCCCTAAAATATCCCCAACTGATATCATTGTCAATAAATATTCTTTTTATTTTACCTACTTCATATCCAATTCTTTAATAAAGTATACTTATATTTTATAACATTGAATTTCCNGTATTATCTTTATGGTCAAATAATCAAATATTTTCTACTATTGAATTTTAAGAACTTGATATACATGATAAATATTATGCATTAACAAGTATGGCTAAAAATATTTATGCTCTCTAACACTATTTTCCAGTTGCTACCAAAATTTATAATACAGGTATTGAGTATATATTTATATTTTAGTTTATTAAAAATAATTGACTAAAGGAAAGGATTTTCTTAATTAAATGCAATCTATATATATAGCTTCAGGAATGTATTCACTTCCATTTGATTAATTATATACTATAAATAAGTTAGAAGATGAAGTAATAAAAGTGAAAAATAAAGAAATTAAGTTCAAATATGCTTATGGTAAATTTTCATAGAAGAGTTGAGTAGTTAAATTGGATAATATTATAAGAATAAATGTTATTTTTATATATAATTTTCCATAATGGAATAGATTTTTGTTCATTTTATATTGAATATTTTCAAAGTAGATATTTTAATAGAGAAATAAACTGTCCTTAAGTCAATAGATAAGTTTAATTACAAAATCTGATTTACATATTTAAATTCATAATTTAAGTTACATGATTAAGTATTCTCTACTCTACAATTAGGCTAACCCCATTAAATACAATATTCTATAAATTTAACTTATTCCCTAAATCAATATTAGAAAATATTTTATTTTTATAGAGTATATTTTTTATTCAATTAAATCTATTGTCTTAAAAAAATATTCAGATTTTAATTAATATAAGTCCTTATATCATTTAAGATAAATATTAACAAATCTTCTTAAAAATAATTAAATATAACTTAGTTTAACAGATCCTTTGTATAAGAAGTTTCACAAAAAGAAGGCCAAAAAAAAATGAATTTTAGAAGATATTATTTTCAAGCTAACCTAATTTAATGATATTGATTTTAATTATTTATGTTAAATTAAAAATATATGATGATTTTCAAGAAACTATTTATTGGGTTTAATTTAATGCCTCTTTAATTATATCTTGTATTTTATCCATTCTTTAATAAAATAAACTGGAATCTTCTTTTAATTACATTCCCTCTAAATATCCAATTCTCATTTAATCTCTTAATAGTATTTCAAAAAACTCTTCAACATCTGTTTTTTATTTTTCTATAAACATATGACTTGCTAAAATCATATCCATTCCTCCTATTGCTAATTCTAAACCAATTCTTTCTTGTTCTTGATAAAATAACCATTGTTCTAAATCAAATTTTCCATAATTCTTATTTTCTGAAATTTCTGAAGAATTAGCCCTTTAAGCATCAAAATCAATATCAATGTTAATGAACTCTTCTTTACTAATAAATTATAATAATCAATACCAGAAAGCAAGATCAAAATCTACTGGAGCAAGTACATTAGATCCATTCTATATTATAACAAAATTATCTAAATGTGCATTACTATGATAATAAAATTTACTATGATCCCTAAAATATCCCCAACTGATATCATTGTCAATAAATATTCTTTTTATTTTACCTACTTCATATCCAATTCTTTAATAAAGTATACTTATATTTTATAACATTGAATTTCCTATTAAATTTTCAATAATGCTTATATTATCTTTTTCTTTTTCCCAATCAAATACTCTATTATTTTGATAATCATCCTCTTATAATATTGTACCTTCTGGTCTCTCTCTATACTGTGTATTATTAAGATCCCATGGATTTCCATTTTATGACTTTCTATTTTCTACAATCCTTGATTAAACTGTAACCAACCTTCTAATATCATCTACACACCAATCAGAAATGCTGGAATTTACAATCAATCTAAGACCTTAAAGTAAATGAGTTCCAAGTCTGAAATCACCAATTGTCTCATAAATACCACAATATTTTGGAACTAAGGGTATTTAATTTTGTAAGTTCTTCTCTAAATTTTAATTGATTGATTCAATATCTCCATATTACCAATAACCAATACTAATATTACCAGTTTCTATATTGTATTTTTTTAATATTTATTCAATTTTTCTATTCATAAAGAGTTCTCTTTTTACAGTATGATCAAAACAACATCCTCTTATTTCAAATGCATTCTCAATATCCCCTTCAAATTTTCTCAATGTAAAACCATCATTCCCATTACCACAACCCTTTAACCTATATCTTTTTCCATTTTATTAAATAATAGCACTTCTCATACCTGATTATTATCCAACAAGAGATGGATAGTCAGCTTTTGGTACTGCTTTGATATAACCTTTTCCATCAAAAAGTGTTTTATTATTTATTTTTGTATCCAATTCTTTAAGTGCATATGAAGGTGGACAAACAATGAATAATTTTTACTGGGGATGCATAAAACTTTGAGCTAATCTATAAGATAATCCTTCTCTTAATGTTGTAAGGTTTTTGTCTATTGTAATTTAATCTTAAAAAAGAAATGTCTTTTCTACAGGCACTTCTACTAAACAAATTTTTCCAACTTCTTATTCCATTTATAATTAATATTATTATACATTTAAACAAATTTATATATTGATCTTTGATCAGAAATAATTAAAATTCCTAATAGTATAATAATTATTATTATATTATACAAATTCTAATTAATCATTTAGATTATATAAATAAATTGAATACATAAGATATTTTTCGTATGTATTTAAGTTTAAAACAAAACATGAAAATAAGGAATTATAATATGATTAAATTATCAGATACATATTTAATTCTTACAAATTATAGATAAATTAATTATTAATTATTATTACTTGATATTTGGAATGGGAAGTGGGTAAAGCAATTAAAATTATCATGGACATATGAATGAATAACCAGAATAGCAATAAATTATTAATTCAAGTGTTGCATTGAGATCATAAGTAGTTAAAAAAAGGAAAATTTCATAAGATGATGATGATGATGATGAAGATGATGAGGAAGAGGAATTAGATTCTAATGATGATAGTGAGAATGAAGAATAATAGTTTGAAGTAAGTGCCTATTTAGAGAGTAGTCTAATGAATATGAAGAATATATATAAGGTGATAAATTAGTTGATAATAAATCGATGTATTCTGGATTTCTTGTAAATAGAATTTAATTACTTGCAATAAAAAAGATAGTTTTGAATAAAAAAGAGAACTTTAAAATAATTAAGTACAATTTACAATAGCTTACCAATTTGAGACATTAAAACTTAGAAACCATTATTAGTTGGAATTTTGAAAATAGCAATAATAAGAAAAATTATTACCTCAATATTTTCTCTAATTTTTAATCGAATGGTTCATTGTAATCTATACTTTTAAAATACTGTAAATTTAGTAAAGAACTTATTTTAACAATATTTCAATCAATATTAAAAGCACTTGAGTATTTACATTCATAAAATAAATTGCATAAGTACATATTTAACTCTTAATTTTTAAAGAAATTTAAAAACATAAAATATTTTAGTTGATCATGAAGGAACAATTTTAATATCTGATATATTGATTTAAAGTTAATATTCACTATCAAATTATAGTGCCCCAGAAACTTTTGTATATGCTGATTATTCTGAAGCATCTGATATTTGGAGTGCAGGATGTATTTTTTATGAACTTCTTACCCAAAAGTAGCCATGGCAAATTAATGATAAAGTGCTTTCAATTCAAGAAATTAAAAAAAAGTTCTCTCTCAATTGTAATTTTAGAATTACTATTATTTTTAGAAACCTTCTTAAAAGAGAATTTAGATATCTAAAAAAATGCTATGAATATCTTATAATAGATTTTTCAGTTCTAACCTGAAAATAGACCATCAGCATCTTAATTACTTAAACATTAAATATTTCTAGAAAATTCAACTAGCAAATTCAAATAAATGGCTAAGTAAATTTCTTAAAAGGATGTGTAAAATACACCACAAAAAAAATTTATGTCTCTAATCTAAGATTGTAAAATCAATAACAATTCAAATAATATTCAACTTTAACCTGTGTAATATATAAAACTTAAGAAAAAGGAAGATGATGAAATTTCATTTGACATTAAAGAATGTGTTTTTTACATTTAATCCAATATATTAAAAGAATTCACAATTACACAAAATAGCAATTCTTATTTGTTAACTAAAGTATAAATATTATTAATACTTTTTAGAATAACTTTGATAGTTTAACAATTAAATAACACAAATTTAATTGTAATCTTATTCAACAAAAATTATGCCATAATAAATAATAATATAGAATCCAAGATGCATCAAATTTATCATAAATTGTATCACAAATGAAAACTGCTATTAATTTTTAAGGTAGCATTCTTTAAAGTTAAAATTCAACATCCGAAAAGAATTTTGATTAAAAAAGTTTTTAAGCTAATCATCTAATTCTTTAAACTCAATCCTTTAATTAATTAAACCAAGAAATAAAATAATTTTAATAAATTTAAGATAATCAAAATGATATCAAATAAAAAAATGAATAAATTATAAAATAATTAGATCTTATTAAATCTTAAACTTAAACTGAATCAACAATAAATTAAAATATTAATAGTTAAGAAACAGAGTAGATATTATTTGATGGAGATTTTGTCTTTATTTTATGAAATATAAATCAAATATAGGATTTTGTTGTTATTATTATTATTTTAAATATAATTATTATATTACAAGATTTAATTATTACAAATTTTATATAATTCAATAAATAGATATGAAGTATCCATTTATTCTCTATTCTTAAATTATTTTCAAAGATTGGCAATCCATAATATACTTGGTTTATTAAAAATAATAATCATTTATGAATAATAATCTTGGTATTTTGAATAACAGATTTCACAAGAAAGCTATATAAAGTCGAAAGAGACAAACTTCAGCAGATACCAATACTATCCATTAAATGTAAGGAGGAAAGAAAAAAANTGATGATGATGATGAAGATGATGAGGAAGAGGAATTAGATTCTAATGATGATAGTGAGAATGAAGAATAATAGTTTGAAGTAAGTGCCTATTTAGAGAGTAGTCTAATGAATATGAAGAATATATATAAGGTGATAAATTAGTTGATAATAAATCGATGTATTCTGGATTTCTTGTAAATAGAATTTAATTACTTGCAATAAAAAAGATAGTTTTGAATAAAAAAGAGAACTTTAAAATAATTAAGTACAATTTACAATAGCTTACCAATTTGAGACATTAAAACTTAGAAACCATTATTAGTTGGAATTTTGAAAATAGCAATAATAAGAAAAATTATTACCTCAATATTTTCTCTAATTTTTAATCGAATGGTTCATTGTAATCTATACTTTTAAAATACTGTAAATTTAGTAAAGAACTTATTTTAACAATATTTCAATCAATATTAAAAGCACTTGAGTATTTACATTCATAAAATAAATTGCATAAGTACATATTTAACTCTTAATTTTTAAAGAAATTTAAAAACATAAAATATTTTAGTTGATCATGAAGGAACAATTTTAATATCTGATATATTGATTTAAAGTTAATATTCACTATCAAATTATAGTGCCCCAGAAACTTTTGTATATGCTGATTATTCTGAAGCATCTGATATTTGGAGTGCAGGATGTATTTTTTATGAACTTCTTACCCAAAAGTAGCCATGGCAAATTAATGATAAAGTGCTTTCAATTCAAGAAATTAAAAAAAAGTTCTCTCTCAATTGTAATTTTAGAATTACTATTATTTTTAGAAACCTTCTTAAAAGAGAATTTAGATATCTAAAAAAATGCTATGAATATCTTATAATAGATTTTTCAGTTCTAACCTGAAAATAGACCATCAGCATCTTAATTACTTAAACATTAAATATTTCTAGAAAATTCAACTAGCAAATTCAAATAAATGGCTAAGTAAATTTCTTAAAAGGATGTGTAAAATACACCACAAAAAAAATTTATGTCTCTAATCTAAGATTGTAAAATCAATAACAATTCAAATAATATTCAACTTTAACCTGTGTAATATATAAAACTTAAGAAAAAGGAAGATGATGAAATTTCATTTGACATTAAAGAATGTGTTTTTTACATTTAATCCAATATATTAAAAGAATTCACAATTACACAAAATAGCAATTCTTATTTGTTAACTAAAGTATAAATATTATTAATACTTTTTAGAATAACTTTGATAGTTTAACAATTAAATAACACAAATTTAATTGTAATCTTATTCAACAAAAATTATGCCATAATAAATAATAATATAGAATCCAAGATGCATCAAATTTATCATAAATTGTATCACAAATGAAAACTGCTATTAATTTTTAAGGTAGCATTCTTTAAAGTTAAAATTCAACATCCGAAAAGAATTTTGATTAAAAAAGTTTTTAAGCTAATCATCTAATTCTTTAAACTCAATCCTTTAATTAATTAAACCAAGAAATAAAATAATTTTAATAAATTTAAGATAATCAAAATGATATCAAATAAAAAAATGAATAAATTATAAAATAATTAGATCTTATTAAATCTTAAACTTAAACTGAATCAACAATAAATTAAAATATTAATAGTTAAGAAACAGAGTAGATATTATTTGATGGAGATTTTGTCTTTATTTTATGAAATATAAATCAAATATAGGATTTTGTTGTTATTATTATTATTTTAAATATAATTATTATATTACAAGATTTAATTATTACAAATTTTATATAATTCAATAAATAGATATGAAGTATCCATTTATTCTCTATTCTTAAATTATTTTCAAAGATTGGCAATCCATAATATACTTGGTTTATTAAAAATAATAATCATTTATGAATAATAATCTTGGTATTTTGAATAACAGATTTCACAAGAAAGCTATATAAAGTCGAAAGAGACAAACTTCAGCAGATACCAATACTATCCATTAAATGTAAGGAGGAAAGAAAAAAAATGAATACTATGAAAGATGGCTAACTAATTAAAAGAATCCATAATTAAGATCAGATTCTGAATCGAATCTTGATAATCTAACACCCTTAACTCCAAAAGCTTAAATTCCAATTAAACTAGAGCCTAAATTAATAAGAGATGTTATACAGAAATTCTATTCAGATGAAAATGGTCTTTGATTTTCTTATATTTATGATTAATTTTCTATAATCCTTAGTCACTTATAATCATTTTTGATTAATTTCTTCTTATTTCTTATTTGAAAGAGTGATTCAAAAATATTTTTTTTATGTATGAACATTATTGGAAGAATGTTTTTCTTATTTGATTATATAAATCAATAAAGAAAGTATATCTGTGGCTTAATTGTAAAATTACATATAGAAATCATAGGATAATTTCAATTTGACTATATTGTTATAAGCACATTTATATTATTACAATTTTGAGTTGAAATGTTTGATAAAAGAAATAGTTAAATTCTTAATTTGAGTGAAAAGGTTTATATAAAGTTTAAGAAATATAAAAATAAATATGTTTTGACAATATTCTTGATATATGTATGATATATAATAAGAGATAAATAATTTAGATTTTGACTGAAAACCAAAAATATATAATAAATATGTTTGGAACTTCTATTAGTTATAAAATAACAAGATAATTTTAACTCTATGTAAGTTTTTTATATTGAATGATAATTAAAACATAAATATTCCATTTTCTTTTCTTTGTTTAAATTTACCCCATTTATAATAATTAATTAACAGTAAATGTTACCTAATATAAAAAGAAATAAAGAGAATAGGTCTTCACATAGATTAAAGACAGAGGGAGTATGCAGATATCCAAGAAGCAATTCATTTTTGGGATAAATATCTAGAGAGCCTATTAAATAACGAATATGCAAGAGAGATCCATTAAAAGAATTACAATCATTTGATAATGAAATAAAATTATTGGAACAATATGAGAAAAAGTTAAATGCAGCATTTATAGAGAGATTAAGAGTATAATTGTATCGACTACAAATGTGAGTACTTTTATATATACTAATATTTAAAATATTTAAATTAATGAAAAGTTCATAAAACTTTCGTATCAAATCAATAAAATCTAACTAATAAAATTCGAATCAATACAGATCTTTATAAATGAGTTTGACTTGTAAATCATTGACAAATAGAGTGATTAAGGAGTTGGGCTAATTTTAAAAAAGTGTTATCTAAATTTAACCAAGACAGGTCTTACAAAAATAGAGTAGTATTAATTGTAGATAGTCACTTGTTTCTGTGACTGAAAGTTAGGTAAGTGTTGATGAAGAGTTTGAAATCTGGGATAACAACTAAGATCTCAGATTGAAGAAACTTGTGATTGAAGAAAGAAAGCCTTCTGTAGGATAATTTCTGTAATTATACAAAGCTAGATATGGGTATAATTAAATAATACATAAGAGGATTCCCAGGATTTAGATAGCCAATATAGAATGAAGAAGTCATTAAGGCTGCTATAAATCATGCATCATCAAGTAAATAATTATTCAAGAAATATTTTCCTAAAAAATAAATAGTTTTTGAAGATGACAATGATTATTCTTAGCCATATAATATTGAAGATGATCAACATTTTAAAAATTTCAATCGTTTTTTTAGAAATAAAAAGCTTTAATCTACACTAAAGATTCCATTACAGAATTAAATCAATAAAAGTAGATGATGAAGATTTCATGTTGAAGATGTTTTAATAAATTCAACAATGATTAATTATCTTGATATTCTTTTAACTAAATCTATAATTTAAAAATGATATTTAAAGAAAAAGCTAATTATTTTTATTATTTTACTAAATAATTTCATTAATATATCATTTAAGCAAATGGTCAACTGCATTTCTTTCATCTACTAATTCCTTAATAGTCTTATCTAATAAGCCTTGATAGAATGGTGAAATAGGTAATCCTTAGACAATAGAATATTTGCCATTCTTAACTGTGACTGGGAAGGAGAAGATCAATCCTTTTGGTACTCCATAACTACCATCAGATGGAATAGCCATTGAAGTATAATCACCTAAAGATTATTAATGAATTTTAATACCTTCAGGAGTTCCATTAACCCATGTAGTGATATGATTCATAGCAGCATTACCAGCTGAAGCAGCACTAGAGAGTTTTCTGGCTTTAATGATTTCAGCTCCTCTTTATTAAACAGATGGGATGAATGTTTATGTTACCCATTTTAAAAGAAATAGTTAAATTCTTAATTTGAGTGAAAAGGTTTATATAAAGTTTAAGAAATATAAAAATAAATATGTTTTGACAATATTCTTGATATATGTATGATATATAATAAGAGATAAATAATTTAGATTTTGACTGAAAACCAAAAATATATAATAAATATGTTTGGAACTTCTATTAGTTATAAAATAACAAGATAATTTTAACTCTATGTAAGTTTTTTATATTGAATGATAATTAAAACATAAATATTCCATTTTCTTTTCTTTGTTTAAATTTACCCCATTTATAATAATTAATTAACAGTAAATGTTACCTAATATAAAAAGAAATAAAGAGAATAGGTCTTCACATAGATTAAAGACAGAGGGAGTATGCAGATATCCAAGAAGCAATTCATTTTTGGGATAAATATCTAGAGAGCCTATTAAATAACGAATATGCAAGAGAGATCCATTAAAAGAATTACAATCATTTGATAATGAAATAAAATTATTGGAACAATATGAGAAAAAGTTAAATGCAGCATTTATAGAGAGATTAAGAGTATAATTGTATCGACTACAAATGTGAGTACTTTTATATATACTAATATTTAAAATATTTAAATTAATGAAAAGTTCATAAAACTTTCGTATCAAATCAATAAAATCTAACTAATAAAATTCGAATCAATACAGATCTTTATAAATGAGTTTGACTTGTAAATCTATTAATCAACTGTGGCTTTGTGATCTATGATGAAATTTATAATATACTTTTTGCTGTCATTTAATCAATATATGGAACCATTGTTGGAGAATGATTACCAAATATTGCTATTTTTCTGATATCAGATGAATGAACACCTAATTTATCAGCTAATTAATATTATGCTCTATTGTGATCTAATCTTGTCATAGCAGTGAAATTCTCTTTTGGAATATCTTTTATTTAATTGGCTAAGATCAAACAATTAGTATTGCATGGATTACCAACTACTACAACTTTGATATCTCTGCTTGCATGGTCCTATTATAGATGATTAATTTATACATTAATATATTTTCCTGTTTCAGTGAAGATTTTACCATTATCTTTTAACAAATCTCCTCTTTCCATACCTGGTCCTCTTGGTTTAGCACCTACCAAAAGAGCATAATTGACATCTTTGAATCCTACAGTTTAATTGTCTGTTGCTACAATTCCTTAAACCAATGGGAAAGCACAATCTTAAATTTCCATTGCGACACCATTTAATGCTGTCATAGCAAATGGTAAATCGATCAAATGAA